GGGGAAATCCAGTGGTCTGTGTATGTATAGAACGTAAATAAAATATGGGTAAGGCTGAGAGTAAATGGATATTTTAAAGTCGCCTGTGCAAAAACCACATGGGTTTTTGCACAGGCAAGGGCATTGGGGTAAAGGGAAGGACAATAAGGGAAATTTGCAAGCTGCTCACTTTAAAGGAATGTGACAGAATGAGTTTGCCAGCTTGTGTCAGACAGCCATTGACTTGGATGTTGAATCTTCAGCCCTTTTGCTCCGCTGTTTTGACTTGTACCCCCCTTTTAAACTTTTGTAAACTATTCAACTTCATTGTTTCCCGAGGAAAAAAATTGTCTCGGAGCCATGCAGATGAAACGCAAAAAAACACTCGCCTTAACAATGAGCTCAAAAACAACACGGAAAGGTCATGGGAGGCAATGTGGTTGCGTTACGGAAAGTCAAAGAAAGGTTGAGGAATTTTAAAAGTGGACCAAGGGGGGGGGGACTTTTGTGTAATTCAAGTCAGTGTTATTTACAGTATGTACTGTAGCCCTAAATCATAAGTTTGTCTCAAGGGGCTAACAGTCTGCACATACAACTCCCTCTGTCCTTAGATGACAAATTCCAAAAAGTAATGAAAGGAAGTTGACAGAAGCAGCAATATCACCACACTGTGAACTAGGTGGTGCGAAATTAAGGCTGGGCGATATGGTCTAAAATTGATATTGCGGTATAATGTTGAAGCACAGACGTATATATAATGGTGTATTCGTTTTTCCTAAAATGTCAATATAAATGCTTGTGAAGCGGTGGAGCACTGCTATGGCAACTGCATAGCATCATTTCAACGAAGCTTAATTCACTGTAAACCGCTGTAAAATGTGTGGTTATTTACAGAAAATGACTAATTCAAATGAATAGGAAATAAATGATTGCATTATTCAAATACGTCCTTTGATGTTTTAATGATGTATTATAAGCTGCTTAGAGCTACTGTTAGGAAGTTAAACGGGTCATAATTCCCTCTCTAATATCATTTTATATTGCTGTGAAAACACCTTCTTTAAACGACTGTATTTATTCAAGGTTCTCGGCAAAAACTACATTATTTTACAAGATTTGATTTCAACACATCATGATAGCGGCATTTACCTTCGCCCGATACAAATTTTTACTGAGTACTACTTGGACGCACCATGCAAGTCAACGCAACCTCCGTTAACGGAAATGAATTACAATACAGCGACTGTCTTACTCAGTTAGTTGTTCCAAATGTTTTGAAGGTTGTTCCTCCACGGCTTATTTTGGATATGCAGTTGTGACAAATTGTGAGCTTTATGTCTTCACTTTCAATAGCAGCCGATCGATCGGTGCAGTCTGTTCAAAATTCACACCAGAAGGCAAATTCATACCGGTGTTCTTTCTGTACAATTTGTCCCTTCCACCCCTATGCTAGAAGCTTGGTGACTTGGTGACCTCTAGCAGGGGCAGATGGTGAACTACTTTAGCTTTTGAGCTAACTAGTAACACGCTCGCACGTTGGGAGCATGCTAACATTAGCCAACCACAAAGCTAGCTGGTTTTCTAACTGGGAGTTGGCAATCAGCCAACAGGTTAGAACAGTTTATTCAAGAGCCATATTTGTACCATTGACTCGTATCTCATGACTGCAGCCTATGCCTCTTTTATGCAGCACTTTATACTCCAAAGGAGGTTTCTGTAAAAGTGGAGGCTTAGCACTCATTGCATGGCCTCTGTGGGTGCTGACGCTCCTCAATGAGCAGAGGCTTAGTGGATCTGTTCAGTATGGAAACCGTCTCCCGAGGCTGTTACCTCTCCCCGACAGCCTTACTTCCACTTTTATGATATCTGACAGTGAGCATACCCTGGCGTCTCCGTTCACCTTGTCCCATCTTCCACTCCCCCCCCCTTAGCGCTCTGCCGTCCTCCCGTTATCTCACCCATTGTCCATTATCTCCTGGCCTCTAATCCGACTCCTCTGCCACTTTTGAATGACACCACAAAAAAAAAGCAATCCTTCTCTTTCATCGCCTACAATCTTTCACTTTTCCTTCCGTCCTTCACGCCCCTCCGTCCTATGATGGAACGGAGACGGACGCTGACCGGAGGACGCATGGTAATAAAGAGCGTCCGCCGCCTCGTCTCTCCCGTGATGGCCATCTTGCTTCTGTGAAGTGTGGATAACCTCCAAACTGCGGAGATTATGGTGACAGTGTAATCCTGAACCCAACGCAACCTGCTAGAAGGAGAAGGAGACGGGGACAAGAGAGAAGTAAGGTCTCACCACGGTCCTCCTTGGTTGTTTTCTAACTCTCAGTGGAGTTGGAGCCTGCTCGAGATTTCAACTATGACAGGCCTGTCAAAGCAGCTGGTGAGATCCGACCTCTGTGATTCCGCCCATCGCTGTGATTTTCATTTAGACAGGTGCATCGAGTGGGAGACGCCGCAAAGCCCCATGCATTATGCATCGACAGCCGAGATCATTTATTTGTCTCCTCTAAAACACACCCGACCTCGTTGAGAAACTGTTTGTGCGTCATGCTGGGCAGTTGACAGACGGGCCTCGACCTGGTGAGAGTCTGATCCTCATGCCTGGACGGATGATTAGTTCGCTGAGGTAATCGCGGCTCTTTGAAGCGACAGCGACGAATAAGGTGTAATTATAACCCCCCCGTGACGACAATCAGGAAATAGCTGCCAGAGAGCGGAAGTCAAGAATATAATGACAGTTGGCACTGGGGGATGTCTGGAGTGGAAGTATTGTGCAAGTTGCGGAGGAAGTTAAGAGGGGTGGGAAAAAAAGAAAAGAGAGCGAGAGAGACGACGGATGGATTTGCTGAATGTGAAAGCGTCCCCTACAGGGCAAGGAGAGAGGCGGTAAGGTGGTCACAGACAGGAAATGACTTGGAGATAGATAAAGAGTTGATATGTGATGAAGAGATAGGGTGGTTGGCTGGAAAAGGCAGATACGAACAGAGGACAGACGGGGAAAAAGGCACGTCTGCCATTCAGAGGAGCCAATAGGGGTTAACCTGCCAGCGCCAGAGACCACAGGGGAATTAGATAACCTCAGCTGGGCTGCTGCATGAAAACCGCCAGCTTGCCCTTGGCGGCTGCGGTTCTGCACGCATAGACACACAGAATACAATGAAAATGTCTAAAATGATTCTTGGCACATAACGGGGATGATTTCACAAATTGCTGCGCGTCCAGCAGATATGCTGTTTTTTTTTTTTTTTGTTTGTTTTTTTAGATTTAGCCTTTTGATTTGTTTTGGAACATGAGACTTAATTCAACGGTGTAGATATTCAGCCGAAACGGAGATATGTTACTTGTGCAGTTAAACGGAACACTAGTTACAGTAGCGTTAAGATAAACTGATTTTGACTGGTCAAAGTTCAAAGGTCAAGAGCCCTGTGGCCTCATGTCCGTCCCACTCTGGTGAGCGCGATATCTCAGGAACGCTGCGACCGAATTTCTTCAAATTTTGCACAAATGTCTACTTGTGTTTTTTGACCACCAAATTCTAATCAGTTCATTGTTGAACATTGTTTTTGGCAATTTACATGCTAATTTTGACAACTTCACACACATTTTCACACTTCTCATTTTGGACAGACATAGATCGAAACTGCAACTTGGCTTGGTTGGCGGCGGCATACAACAGTGAGGTGGTAATTGTAGTTCTTTTAGTTGTAGTGGTTAATTTATAAAGTTTTTATCTAAGCTCTGTATTACGAAAACTGGAGACCAGGCTCCAAGATGGTGCCCCATTAATTATTTTTCACCCGTGATCTATCCGGAATCTTCGACCTCTGTTTTAATTCGACATCACTCCATGTCATCAACCTCTAACTTCCATCCCAGCCTCCCTAGACACGCCATGCAGCCTGAGTGATTCATCCTCCACTAATCCATCATGAGGCTGTGGGAGTAATCACTCCATTGGCTGGACAGTGCGTTGACGTGTCGTGCGCCTTGTGATTGTGCTGATGGCGTTTGTGGGCATCTGGACGAGTCACGCAGGGTTCAGCATCTTGTCGGCATTGCGCACTCGTTCCCTTTGGGTCACTGAAGTTAAAAATAGGCAGGGGGCATGACTTGAAGCGCAGGAGTAAGAGGTGAACAGTGACAAAGTTAAGTAAACCCCCCCCCGGCCTATTCACAATACAGCATAGCAAGCTACTGTAACAAACCCAGTGTGTAAGGCGGACTGCAGCCATGACCACGCCTTTTTTTTTGGAGCAGTGCTGGCCAGTGTTGCCTTCATTGGGGAAAAACCACGCCTTAATCCAGACTTTTGGAGGCGAGGTTGGTACCATTGAGAGCCTGACAGATAAACTGACACGGCTGTTATTGTCAGCCGATATTAGCTTACTACAGATGTATCGATATCTGAATACATGTTGACTGATAATCAGCCAGTTTGAACATTTAAAGGTACTTTCACTCTCCCCTTAGCTCCTGCCGGCCAGACACTACGTCAGTGCAGACACACTGTTAGACCCCCCCCCCCCCCATGAGATGCTAAAAGATATGAATTCCTCCACATAATTAATTTCTATTAGATCATTGTACCTCATTGCTAATTGAAGTCTAAATGCTACAGGGCCAAGTAGGGAAAAGATTTTCTTGAGCTAAACGTTTATCGACTGTAATTGGGATTCGGTCTCTTAAAATAGTTTCCAACACTCAAGCAGAGCCTGCTTCATTTTATATGAGAGAGATTCCACAAGGTGAACAACACTTATTTCCAATTCATTCCATTGATGCAAAACGGAGACAGTAATCTTTATACGCAGCGTTTGACAATGACACAATAATAGTACTAGTGGCTAAGTGGAGAGCAGGACCGTCCTTCAATCAGAGGGTCGGTAGTTCGATCCCCGGCTCCGCTAGTCGCACGTCGATGTGTAGCTGTGCCTACGGTGTAGAAATGTGATAGAATCTGAATTGTAAGTCGCTTTGGAGAAACTATAATGTAATGTAATGTACTGGGAGCTTGCTTTTTTCATAACTGGCAGAGTTTAGAAAAACTGATTGTTTCCTGGAAACAGTATATTGCTACGACTAGAACGTTTCCACTTCTATGTGGCTCAACAAAATAGTTTCATATTTGGTCTCAGTAGGGTTGTTTAGTCCCTACAGAAACCCGGGCCTCTTTGATATGTAATGGAGTCCGGTATTATTTCCATGTCCGCGTTCGCTCCTTTCTGTCCTGCTGTCTACATGTCAACCGCAACCTCAATTTGCTCACTGGTTTGCCTCCGTTGTTGAGCCGAGTCCCCAGGAAGAGCACTTTTTTTTTGTAGTTGCCCGACCATGGAATACAACTTCTAGGTCTGTCTGGCGATGCTGCAAACAACGTTTTCCCGCAGAATTGGGAATGAGACATCTGTAAATCAGCGGATGATTTTTTTGGAGTTAAATCAGCTTCCCAGTACGAACACTTGAAGGTTCTCTAATTGAAACACAATGACATGAGTTGATCTGACTGAATCGTCACTGTTGCACATGTGCAGTTTGCCCCATTGCAAAACAAACTGTAAGGTTGTGAGCACATCAGATTCTGCAGGGTCAGCACGTATTCTTCTCTGCATCCACATAGAGTCAGCAACAAAAACAGAGGTTTTCATCAAGACGGTGTACTTTAATAGACCGGAGAAGTTGCAGAAGGACAGTACACCCCAAAATCAAAATTGGGTGAAATATTGGCAAGAAAGTGGCAAAAAGACATTACATTTGAAAAACCTCTTTCCAGGAATCATTACCTAGTTAAGTCGATATAATCCACAGACATGTGAACAGTTTCATAGCAGTATTTTCTTTTCACCAAACTACACCCCGCTAATGATATCGCCGCGCAGAAAGAAGCACGTATCTACTCATGGACAAGAACTGCTGCGTTAACCCTAAAACTGATTAAACGAGTAATAAAAAACTATTTAAAAAAGAGAGAAGCTTTTTTTACTCCTAGTCCTGAAAGAAGGTGAGGGTTATTCCACTGGTAACAAACCAAAATGTCTGAATGTTTTAAGGCTGATGTTTGTTGGTGTCATCTCCCCTTAACGATTCAAACCGCTGTGCGACTTTCACACGACAAAAGTATCTCCATTGATTTCTGTAGAATGTCCTGTAAAATGTCCTGGAAAGTGATTGCTGGTAGAGTGTGAACCCTGTTGAGTTTCCTCCGTAAACATCCTCCCATTGTGTTGCCACTAATCTGCTCTGCTGACTGCACTGAATCTTGAAACACTTGGAACGCTTATATTGACAAGTGCAAGGGATTATTTCATTGTGCAGTTATCTAAAGCTGTGTGGCTAATTTGAGCACTTGGGGAAAATGCCCTCTTTTTCAATGACAGAAAACCAGCCGACCACCACTTATTGTCTTGCCGCTTTGTGTGTGTTTGTGTGCCATTAATTCTCTTTCTTCTTATTTCCCAGTCTTTGGGTTTCCAGTGCTCCATTGTTTTACTGTGAGCACTGATTTCCCCCGACATCCTCAGCCAGTTGCCCTGCCAGGGGGATTTACCCTCCCACACACAAACACAAACGCAGATGAACACACAAGATATACGTCGTCAGTATTTCTTGGAGGGAAAACAGAGCAAACTAATTGGCGCACAACGATTCCAGCTTTTTTAAAATCATATTCACTTAAAGAGATAACCCCTTTCAAAAGTCGAAGAACCTGGAAGTTTTGTACCAAATCAAGAGCCTGAAAACTTTTAAAAATATAAGCCTCTCAGTTATGGCACACAACCGCCCGACGAGCTATGTAAACATCAATGCAAGAGTAGGTTGAGGTCAGAAAGAACCAGACTGGCTGGTAAACGGCGATAGTTCAGTAGCTGGCACTGCGAAGCAAAGCCTCTGATAAATAAAGAGAGTTTACCCAGAGGCAACCTCCCCAAGTTCACACTGTCTGTCCCAAAAACAATAGCTTTAAAAGGGGTTTAAATCAGACAGTCAAAAGTATGCATCTCAGCTTTCGCTAAAATACAATCCTGGAATAAGCCGAGTGTGTCCTTGCGGGCCCCTTTATCTCCTCAGGGTTCCAGGTTGTGTTGTCTTTTTGGGTCCTCATCATCTGTCCCTGTTTCATGGACAACTCTTTGTGATATACTTTGAATGAACAATTGGGGAATTAGCTTTTTTTTTTAATTGTCTCCAAGATTGAGATGAGGATATTATTACTGCTCTCATGTCTGTGCATTAAATACAGAAATACAGAGCTGGAGTCAGAATAGTTTAGCATATAAAGTGGAAAAGGGAAAACTTGGCCGTTGTTTGTTCAACATGAAGAGAAATGTAAATGTGACAATTTGTGATTTTAGTAAGAATCGCATGTTGGAGCTAACCGCAATTTAGCTTAAGTCGGGACATGTTTAGCCTAGCTTAGCATAAAGACTGGAGGAACATGGGGAAACAGCTGGCATCACTGGGGCTATTTAACTCCACCTGAAATCATTTCTGTTCTCTACATGGGCTAAACATTGGTTGGTGTTTTTTATTTCAATTTTCGCCAGAGCCAGGCTAGCTGTTTCCCACCTGTCTTTATGCTAAGCTAGGCTAAGAACGTCGTGAATTTCCTGCATTTTCAAACAAGCGACTTTCTCCTGCTTCCAGTTTTAATGCTAGGTGAGCCACGTCCTGACAGATCTGTAATGCAGACCTATTATTGATAGATTATCTCAGTCTGAGAGAGACAGAAAATTAGCGTATTTCCCAAAATGTTCCTTTTTAAACCATTTGTTCTCTCCTCTCATTCCCTCCTTGCCCAGGGCGAGTCTCTTTCTTCTCTTCCGGCACGGAGAACCTCCACCGCGTGGAGAAGGTGGCGTGGGGGACACGCTACGCCATCACCGTGTCCTTCACCTGCGACCCAGCACACGGCATCTCGGACCCCGCCATGCCCTGAGGCCCCCACGGGCCACGCCCACTGCTCACTGGCGCGGGAAAAGCCCTGCAGAGAGGGTGACCAGAGGGGAGAGACAAGAAAGGAGGGGAAGGAAGAAGTGAGATTTTTACTCGTCACATTGGTGTCCCACAGCTGCACCGCCAATATCATATGTTATTTTCCTTCATTTTCACTTGCTGCCCCGCACGGATTTTGCTACAGAAATAAAGCACACACATTCACTTCTTTCTTACTTTTCTTACTTTGTAACTTTTATCCAATTTTCTACTGCGGTTTCTTTTTTAATACTTTTTTTTTTATTGCATAATAAATTGCGTAATTGCTAGATTTAGTCATATGTGTATATTATTTATACACATAATCTGTTTCTTTTGATCATAAGGAGGACGGCTCAAGCAGAGATTTTCTCTCGACTGATACCGTGTCAGAGGAGCTTAAGTGGGATTGTGTGTTTTCTGTGTCGTGGTGAGTTTTTCATTTTGAGGAGTGCTGTCAATTCCTTGGTGAATCTCCTTCTGAATCAACCTTTCATCACTTAAGTCCCCACTCATACTCGCCCCCACCTCATGACCCAGGAGGCGTTTTCTTCTAAGAAGAACCCTCTCCTTGTCCAGGAGTGATTGCTCTTTCTAGTATGTTACCAATTACTTCAGTGTGGTCGGTGAGGACGGTTTGAAATAAAATGCTGACGTGAAAAGTTCTCGTCTCTTTGCCTCATTTCTTCACTACCTGAGCACTATGACTTAGAACAAACTATACTGAACCATACCTAATACCATAGTATTTATATATGTATATAGTATCTATAAATAGTTTCTCTCTGCAATATTAATTTCAATCCATCACAAACCCAAATATCCTTTTTTTACAGTTTCTAGGCCTTTAACAAAGTACGTAACAGCAATCCAGACAGCCTTATGGTTAGCCATAGGATAATCCTGGTTAGCTTTTTTGGTTGCATGCTTATGCATACTTCCATCTTCTATCTGTGTGTAAAAGTTACTACCAGTTACAAGATAAACGTTACACAACAAACGTAGTGTTACACTTAATGTTTTGATGTCGTACACCTTTTCGCATTTCATGTGTTTTTTTGCTGTCCGGACTTTCTTATACAAATTTGCATTTGCCAAAAAACACGATTTGGGCTGGCATTCTGAACATGTCTTTGTTTGTGCAGTCAGCTCTATCACATACAGTCAGTTTAAAGTACCCGCAGCTGTTTCCATTCTAGGGCCATACCAGGGGGTTAGCCCGTTTCGTTAATTCACATATTCGTTAAGTTGCAAACCCTGCAATGACATTTAAGAATTTTGAACGTTTTTTTAATTTAATTTTATTCTACCTTCTCTAGGCAGCCAACTGCTTTCTTTTGATTTCTGAACATGACAAAGTATATTGGCAAACGTTTGAAACTTGTAAGAGTTGGGCAATCCTTCATCAATTCATTTGTGTTTCATTGTGGTTAGGAGGTAATGTTTAATATTATTGCATTTTGGCCCACTTGAGCCAGGAAATGGCTGAAAACGTGTTATCGCCAGACAGGCCACAGCAGGATGAAGCGTGCCTTGGGCTGCATTCATTCAAAATCCAGCAGGTTAGTGAGGTGTGGATGTATTTATTTGTGCTTTTAGAACGTAACCGTCCTTAAACAATCAGAAAATAAAATTGATGGGAAATGGGCTAGAGCTCAGGCAAAGTCAGACTGAAGATAGTAACAAGTTGACAATTCTACTTTTAAGATTCTTGGTACTTACGTTATTTTTTTCCCCAAACAATGTGGGAATAACTGCCTCCACTAAGACCTAAATGTTTAACAGCAGATCTTAATTCAAGTCACAAACTCAAACGCCTACACAGTTTTTGATAGCGGTCACGGGGCAGAGTGATGGCTTTACTAATGTTAAAACTCAAAGCACAAAAGAGCAACTATCTGTAAGATGGAAAGTCTTCAGTTTCTGTCGAACAAAAGACAATATGACAGACTCCTCTGATGGCATTTTAACACCTGAAGAAATGACACATGCATTGTGTTCTGTCATTTAAAGTCACCCTGCAGCTGTGAATATCATTTTCACTTCAGAATGTCTCCAAAGTGAATTTACGATGTTTAGTCAAAAGGTTATTCTGAAAGTTGTATCTATTTTTGACACCTCTCTTTGTCCTTTCTGACTACAAGCTGTTTTGAGTGGTGGGTTCTTATGTTCATAAAAGTGGCACTGCACCATTTTTATGGATTCAAATCATTTATTGTATAACCTCTTTTGTGGCTCTGGGGACATTTGGCAAGTAAGAAAATACTTCACTCAAATGTTCTCAGCTGTTATCAGCGGGAAATCTCTAAAAACACACTGTATTCTAACCTTCCATAGTGGAGCATTTATCTGCTAAAGCACAAGATATTCCATATTTCAGAGTTGGTGGAGACCAAAACAGAGCTAATAGGACAGTGAATATTGGACTTACATTCATCAAGTGGCCAGAAACACATCTGCATCCAGTAGATGTGTAAATAAGAAACACGTTCTCACTCCCAACTCTTCTAATGCCAACATTTGGTTAGTGGCCCTGCGCTTAAAACTGTGATGCTGTAGGTATATTTATCATGTAAAATAACTACACTTGTTACACAACTGGCGTCAGTAAAGTCCAGAAGTTACTAAAGTATGATAAAATAAGTCCGATTTAACTTGTGTTTCATACAGGACATGATCAGCGGTCTCCTGGGTGAAAGTCCTGTGTTTGTTTGACCCTACGCTTACGTTCTCGTTCTTTATTCTTCATCAGTTGCTCCGGCTGTCTCATACCGACGCAGATTGGCACTGACGTTGGCAGTGAGACCGGGTTGAAGTAGGTGATTATTTGCAAACGCATTATAAGGTTGTTGTGTCGCCCCAGGCAGCCAAGAAAAAAAAATCTATATCCATAATGAATGCACACATACGTCTAGTTTTAATGAAACTTGCAGAGACTGCATCTTATTTCTGATTGAACAAAGGAGTACTTCCATCCAGCCCATTAGATCTTTGTCAGTTTGAAGTTTGAACTAAATGGACTCATTTATTCTCAATCACCGCCTGGTGTCTCTGGCCGCAAGAGCAGTAGCCGAGAGGTACTCGGAGCGTGTACTGGTAGTCACGTTAGCTGTTAGCCAAACGCACCGTCCAAAACACTAAAAGTGAGCAAACTGAAAGAGCAGCAGACTAGCAGTTGGGGGTGGTGGATGCACTGGACTGTGAATCAACAGCCGGGGGCCAGTTAAAGAGGAGTAGGAGTGATTAAGAGTATGCGAGGCCGTCCAAACTATTATGCAGTTTGCTGCTGCAGAATGCGAGATTAGCCACGGACAGACACAGTGGTGCACATTCACTCACGGATGCATGCCTGTGTGATCCTCCAGGTAATTATAGAGGGACGACAGAGATAATAACTGTTTATAATAACTTTTTAGGCTACTGTATATTAAGAACAATTGAATCCTCAATCTTTGAGGATGAAGGTGTTGCACTGCAACAAAAAAAAAGCGCTTCTCTCCAGCTCAGGGATGAGCTGATTTTGCAGGCTCTGGAGAGAAATCAACAAATCCCTCCTAGATGTCTCATGCATCTTGGATGTATGCAGCCATAAGCTGATAAATCCCACACAGAGCAGATCTGGTCCAGAATTTGCATTGAGGAATCGCTGTGAAGAGTTGTCAGTCTGTGTGTTTTTCCACAGCCGTGCTGTGACAATGTTTGTGGAGCACCAAGGGGGCATTGGCTGCAAAGAATTTAAGCAGTTTGTGACATTTTACATGCAAACACACACAAAAGTGTGGCAAAGTGCGCATTCCCGCCTGGGACAATATAGTTTGAAAATGTCATGGCTCTAGATATCATTCAGATTTTATTCATGATTATAAGAAATCTGTCGCTGTTTGAGTAACTGTCCAGACATGCATAATATTACCACCCATCACACACTCGGTGTGTTCTCCAGTCGCTGCCTGGAGAATCTACAAAGGACAGAGTAGCTTCACAGCAGATGTTCGGATGAGACTTTAACAAGTCAGATAAAAGTAAAAGGCCGTCCCTTAGTACTAGGAGCCATCTCAATTAAAGAGTAGTCAACTCTCCATAAAACAAGAGGTACATTTATGCATCACTCATTAGGATACCTGCCTGCCTACAGGAACATCTTGAACAGAAGATCACTTCTGTGCTTCCTAAAGTCTCTTTGGAAGTGAAGCAAATCACGTAATCAGTTACAAAAAAAACAAAACTGTAAATATCACATAAACTCAATGCTATGATAAAGTTTCAACATTGCAGATGTGTCATCATCGTCATTGAGGTAAGTAGGCCACAGTTCAGTTGAGTTAACAGGGCGTACACAAAGTCCAATTGGAAGCAGTAGGAGGTTTTGGCTCCGAGTTTGCCACCACAGTGGAAGTGTGTGCAGCCTCTGTGGGAGGACGCGTGCAAATTCAGTGAAAGCGATTGGCAATTCAGGTGCAGTTTCCCCCCCCAGTCTCCTGCCAGAGGACGCCTTTGAGATCCAGATGTGGGCTCAAATCAGTTCCTCTTCGCTAAATTTAGTCACAAAGCAAAACACCCGTCTGGCTTTACTCAGCATGTGATTGTTCGGGAAATCAATTGTTTTGAGCTTTAATGTTGTTGTTTGTAGATAAAAAACTGAACCAGGAGGAGAAGACAACAGCCCCGGGGCCCCAAGACCCTTCGGGGCCCCTGAATTTGTATTGATAATTTGATTAGTTGCAAATTTCCTGTGGTATTTTTGTTGTTGTTGTTGTTGTTGTTGTTGCTGTGCTCCGTGCTCTCAGACGGTGCCGGAGAAGTTTGGGGAAAAGATGCGCGCCGGTGGCACAGGTTGCGTCCTCTTTGATTTTTTTTCCGCCTCTCCTGCTCTCTGCCTGCTGCTCTTTGCTCCTGACGTCACCATGGGACTCACTCTGAAGATCTGATATCAGGAAATAATATATGGACCGCGATATTCAGCCGTCTCATGGGTGCAACGTGCACCTGGTCTCCGCTGGGTTTAATTGGAAGAAATATGAATGTGTGCGTGTGAGTGTGTGTGGGGGGATGTGAATATGAAAAAAAAAATGTTTAGTATCAGCACTGATGAGTGTGCACCTGATGCCACAGCGGCGGGAGTCACTTTACGTGCAGACTTGCAGCGTTCATGATTCCAAAAACATAAAAACTAAATAAACAAATGGCTCTAGTCATCTCCCAAATTAATCTCCAACGTGCATTTTCCCCAGACTGATAACGACGAGTTGATAATTAATCCGTCCTTCTTGCACTGACCACGTGCGCACACGCGCGCAACTGTGAGAGCGCACACAAACCGAGAGCTCCTGACTCTCGTGCCACAGACCAGATGCAATTAATGTCCCGAATATTTCCTCGCGCGTGAGCACTTCAATAAACCAGGCACTCTGACATCAGACCTATTGGGTATGAACAGGGAAGGAGAGGCATGCATGTTGTTTGAATATTTCCACACAGACAACACCAACAGTATTGTCTTTGTCTTGTAAAGTGGTCCTGTCTCAAAACCTGGTTATGAGACATTTATTTTATATCATGTTTTTATGACGGTTTTTATTGTATGTTTTTTTAAAGATGCCAAATACAAAATTCAGATGTATTGCCTCCACACTACACACACACACAGAGGGAGAACGACTTC